AAAGATCCCTCCAAACTGATGTTTGATGGCATTCGCAAGCCAGTCTCTGCACAGCAATTATTAGAATGCGGTGTTCTTGACAAACCAACATTTAGCAAGTTGATCAAGGGGGAGAAAACTGTCCCAGAAGTTTCTGAAGATAAAAAGATATTTCTAAAAGGAACAGGATCCATTGCTGGTGTCAAAGTTGGATCTTCAGAAAAAATGTCAATTTCAGAGGCAAAGAAGCAGATGCTAATGCCCCTAGAGAGTGCAGATTTGCTTCTGGAAGCCCAGGCAGCCACAGGTCACATCATTGACCCAATAACCAATCAGAAATTGACAGTAGAAGAGGCTTGTGCAAGGGGAGTGGTGGACAGAGGTATTCGAGATAAACTCTTAGCAGCTGAAGCTGCAGCTGTTGGATTCAAGGATCCTCACACTGGAAAATCTCTATCAGTGTTTGAGGCGATGAAGAAAGCATTAATTGACAAAAAGACAGCAGTGTGTTTGCTGCAGGCCCAGGAATCTGCAGGGGGCATTCTTGATCCAAATCTGAGTGTTTTCCTATCAAAAGAAACTGCTTTGAAATGCTGTCTTTTGGATCAAGACCTTGTTCATGCACTCACACAGAACCCACAGTGTTATATTGACCCAGACACAGAGCATCGTGTTAGCTATGGTGCTTTAAAGAAAAAATGCCCAATCGAATCTCGAACTGGGCTGGTGCTTCTTCCTCTTGCTGAGAAGAAAGATCCTTCCAAACTCATGTTTGATGGCGTTCGCAAGACAGTCTCTGCGCAAAAATTATTTGAATGTGGCATTCTTGATAAACCAACATTTGAGAAGTTGATCAAAGGGCAGAAAACTGTCCCAGAGGTTTCTGTAGACAAAAAACTATTTCTAAAAGGAACAGAGTCTATTGCTGGGGTCACTGTTGGATCGTTAGGAAAAATGTCCATTTCAGAGGCCAAGAAAAAGATGCAAATGCTTCCAGAAAGTGCAGATTTGTTGCTGGAAGCCCAGGCTGCCACAGGTCACATCATTGACCCAATAACCAATCAGAAGTGGACAGTAGAAGAGGCTTGTGCAAGGGGAGTGGTGGACAGAAGTATTCGAGATAAACTTTTAGCAGCAGAATCTGCTGCTGTTGGCTTCAAGGATCCTCACACTGGAAAATCTTTGTCAGTGTTTGAGGCAATGAAGAAGGCAATAATCGACAAAAAGACAGCAGTGCGTTTGCTGCAGGCCCAGGAATCGGCCGGGGGCATTCTTGATCCAAATCTCAGTATTTTCCTCCCTATTGAAACTGCTCTGAAACACAACCTTTTGGATCAAGACCTTGTTTATGCACTTAAACAGAATCCTGAATGTTACATTGACCCAGAAACAGAGCATAGTGCAAGCTATGGGTCTTTAAAGAAAAAATGCCCAACAGAGCCTCGAACTGGTCTGATGCTTCTTTCTCTTGCTGAAAAGAAAGATCCCTCCAAAATTATGTTTGATGGCTTACGCAAGCCAGTTTCAGCACAGCAGTTGTTGGATTGTGGTGTTCTTGACCAATCAACATTTAACATGTTGATCAAAGGAGAGAAAACTATCCCAGAGGTATCTGCAGATAAGAAGGTTAATCTTAAAGGGACTGGTTCCATTGCTGGTGTAAATAGTAGCACTCAAGGCAACATTTCTTTTTCAGAAGCTAAGAAACTGAAGATCATATCAGAAGACAGTGCAAATTTACTGTTGGATGCCCAGGCTGCCACAGGACACATCATTGACCCTAAAACAGAGCAGAAATTGACTGTAGAGGTGGCATGTATCAGAGGAGTGGTGGATTTTAAAGACCAAATTAGGCTGTTAGCAGCTGAAAGTGCTGCCATTGGCTTTAAAGATCCTAGTTCAGGACAGTTAATGTCATTGTTTGAGGCCATGAAAAAAGGTTTAATTGGTGAGACAACTGGCCTAAATCTTTTACAGGCCCAAGATTCAGTTGGAGGAATTTTAGACCCCAATCTTAGTGTATTTCTACCTAAAGATGTAGCTTTAAAGCGAAACCTGTTAGATGAAAAACTCATGCATGCTCTTAAACAGAATCCTCCTTGTTATCTTGACCCAGAAACTGAACACAATGTCAGCTATGGGGCGCTGAAGGCAAAATGTAACACAAACACTCACACTGGTTTACATATTTTGCCAGTGTCAGGGAAGCTTGACCCCTCCAAATTATTTTTTGATGGTGTCCACAAGACAGTCACAGCACAGCAGCTCCTAGATTGTGGAGTTCTGGACAAACAAACATTTGACCAACTAATGAAAGGGAAGAGAACTGTTTCAGAGGTTTCTGTAGATATTAAAATGTTTTTAAAAGGGACAGGATTAATTGCTGGTGTAGCTGCTGGGCCTCTTGGACAAATGTCCTTCACAGAAGCAAAAAAACAGAAAATCATATCATCTGACAGTGCTAACAAACTTCTTCTTGCCCAGGCAGCTACAGGTTACATCATTGACCCCAGGACAAATAAGAAACATACAGTAAAAGAAGCATGTGCCAGAGGACTAGTAGACAAAGAAAATGAATCAATATTGTTTTCAGCTGAAACTGCTGCTATCGGGTATCAAGATCCAGATACTGCCAAATTTCTGTCAGCTGGCCAAGCCATGAGAAAGGGAATAATTAACAAAGACACTGCACTACAGCTCCTTCAGGCTCAGGACTCGGTTGGTGGAATTTTGGACCCTAGTGTCAGTGTTTTCCTACCAAAAAACATTGCAAAGAAACAAGGTCTTATTGATGAGGAACTCTATCAGGCACTGAATAAGTCTCCCAAGTGCTATCTAGACCCAGATACTCAACAACCAACTACATATGCATCACTGAAGACAAAATGTAAATCTGATCCCAACACTGGACTTTTGCTTCTCCCTAAACCTAAACAATCAACTATAAGGGGACTTCGAAACGAGGTGTCTGTTATAGAGCTGGTAGAAGCAAAGTTGTTAAGCAAATCAGATGCGGATCAGCTGAACGCAGGCAAACTTACAACCCAAGACATTGAGGATCGCCTTAGGCCATACTTGGGAGGTTCCACTTGCATAGCAGGAGTTTATGATGAAGCCAGTAATAAAGTCCTATCAATCTATCAAGCTATGAAAAATGGACTTCTGCGACCTGGCACCACTCTAGAACTACTTGAAGCCCAAGCTGCATCAGGTTTTATGATTGATCCTATCAATAATCTCTTTCTGACTGTTGCTGAAGCCTACAATAAAAGGCTTTTTGGGCCAGAGTTTAAGGAAAAACTGCTTTCAGCAGAAAAAGCTGTTACCGGTTACAAAATGCCTGTAACAGGTGAGATAATCTCCCTCTTTCAGGCCATAGAAAATTCTCTAGTGGAGAAGGGTCATGGCATTCGTCTGCTGGAGGCCCAGATTGCCAGTGGAGGTATCATTGATCCCCAACACAGCCACCGTATTGATGTGAATATTGCATATAGTAGAGGCTATTTTAATGAAGAAATGAATAAGATCCTGACTGACGAAAGTGATGACACTAAAGGTTTCTTTGACCCCAACACAGAGGAAAACCTGACCTATCTGGAACTTAAAAAACGTTGTATCTCAGATGAGAAAACTGGGCTTATTCTGTTGCCAATCATAGACAAAAAGAAGCAGGAGTCAAGCAAAAAGAACACAGTAAGAAAGAGGAGAGTGATTATTGTGGATCCAGAGACTGGTAAAGAGATGACAATACGTGAAGCATACGACAAAAAGTATATTGACTATAACACCTACCTGGAGCTGTTAGAGCAGGAATGTGAGTGGGAAGAGATTACTATCACCGCTCCAGATGGCTCCATGCGGTTTGTTATCAATGACAGGTCAACTGGAAGACGATATGACATCAATGACCTGCTGGAGAAGCAAGTCATTGATCAGTCTGTTGTGGAGCAGTATCGCTCACAAGCTATCACCATCAATCAATTTGCAGATATCATCTGTAATCAGGCTACACACAAATCATCATCATCTTCATCATCATCATCATCATCATCATCTGTATCATCATCAAACTTAATCCCAGAACCATCAGGAAGATTATCAGTTACATCTTCATCATCATCAATGCTATCCACTTCAGGAACTTCAGCTTCTTTAAGCTCATCTTCAGTAACATCATCAACCTCAAAAACATCAGTAGTCCCTGTTCCATCGATTACATCATCTTCATCATCCTCTTCTTCATCAATGCTATCCACTTCAGGAACTTCAGGTTCTTTAAGCTCATCTTCAGTAACATCATCAACCTCAAAAACATCAGTAGTCCCTGTTCCATCGATTACATCATCTTCCTCATCCTCTTCTTCATCAATGCTATCCACTTCAGGAACTTCAGGTTCTTTAAGCTCATCTTCAGTAACATCATCAACCTCAAAAAAATCAGTAGTCCCTGTTCCATCGATTACATCATCTTCCTCATCTTCTTCTTCATCAACTGTTGTATCGAGGGCGTTATCTCCTACAGTCACCAAAACAACTACGACAAAAACTACCACAATCATAGAGAAACGCTCACCATCCAGCGTTGTCGCTGAAAAATGTTCAGACTCCCTGAAGCAGGAATCCTATGTATCGATCACTCTGTCCCCTCCTCTTGAACCAGTTGGCGAGGTGGAGCCTTTAGGAGCCATTTTTGACACAGAGGCATTAGAGAAGATTTCTATCACAGAGGCTTTAAATCGGGGTCTAGTAGATTCTATCACAGCCCAGAGATTGCTTGAGGCCCAGGCTTGCACTGGAGGAATTGTGAATCCCACAGATGGCAAGAGGGTCAGCATACAAGAGGCTTCCCAAATGGGTTTAATAGCTAATGACATGGTCACTAAACTAAAACCTGCCCAGAAAGCCTATTTTGGTTTTGAGGATTTAAAAACCAAAAAGAAGTTGTCAGCTGCTCTGGCCATAAAGGAAATGTGGCTACCATATGAGGCGGGGCAGAGATTTCTGGAGTTCCAGGCTGCAACAGGGGGGCTTTATGACCCAGAAAAGGGCTGTAGAAGAAGCATCGAGGATGCTTTGACAATGGATTGGCTGGATCAAAGAATGGCACAAAAGCTCCAGGATGTCAAAAACCATACAAAAAATTTGACATGTCCCAAAAGCAAACTTAGAGTTTCTTACAATGAAATCCTTGATAACTGTCTAGTTGAAGAGGGCACTGGGGTGAAAATGCTTCAGGCATCATCTATATCTTCTAGAGGTATCAGCAGTCCATACAATGTTGCTTCAGCCCCAGGATCCAAGACAGGATCTAGAAGTGGTTCACAAAGGGGCTCCCGCAGAAGCAGTTTTGATCTGGGTTCATCATTAACACAATATAATTTAACTACTTTTACCAGCTTTTCCTCTACCAGATAAATCCATAAAATGCAGAGGCTTTTACATTTATCCACTTTTCTTGCAAATTAAGTAATCATTTTTACAATATTGTCAGTGTGTGGGGAATTTACTAAATATTTTCTCTCTGTGCAGTAGAAATGTTTTTCGTTCTTTTTTTTTGCATTTGGTTTTACTTTGTCTTTGGCGCTTCAAGTAAAAGATATGAAGAACACTTACAGAACAGATTTATGACAATCAACAAAAGTATTATTAACAGCCACCTTAAGGTATTTGGAGAGTAAATAAATGTGTTATGATTATAATTGGTATCCTTAAAAAAATCTTAATTATTGCCATATTTGTTTTTGCATGCTCTGTTTCAAAAGTATTATTTTCCAAAGTTTCATGGAATATGGCTAACTTCTCAATTTGAATAATTACTATAATCAGCTTTTGTTTCATGAATCATTGAAATATGATCTATGTTTGTTTTCTGGGGTATATGTTTATTGACATTATTGGTTTAATGGTTTTATTTTACTGAGCAATTTTTTTAAAGGATTCTGTTTTCTGATTAGCACCATATACGCTGTTTATTTTGTTACCATCATTTATTAAAGAAGAGTTTGTACTCTTGTGGATTTGAAACCATCTTTGTGCGTGGTTCTTCTTAAACAATAACTTAACACATTGAAGACATATTTATCCTCTTATTTTATGTGTAATTTACTACTTGTTCCTCAGTTTTATTGGCACATTCAAAACTTTTCATTAAAGTAAAAAATTAAAACCCAACCAAATGGCCTTAAGAAAATATCAGAAAAAGAATGTTGCACTTCAGAAAGAGACAACGTTGGCTGCGAATAATTATTAAAACTGCTTATGGTAACTAGTAATAAAACTAGTAATTGAATAAAAAAATTACTTAGTCCAAGCAGCATTTCTCATTATAGAGAAAAAAGTTTAAATATATAGTCAAAGTGTTCAGTCTTAGTTATTATTTATCATTTTTGCCTGATAAGGCCTATGTTTTTAAAATAAGAATAGATGAAGGCATAAGTCTAGAACTGATGTCATCTGTGCAGCAGGATGTCGCACATGGATATGGACTAAACATAGACAACTTCTCTCAATTATACAAGTATTTATTAAAAAAAAAAAATTCAACTTCACAGTTAAAACATTTTATTCAACCAACTCACTAAGCAAGTAACACACACAACTAAAATGACTGAGAAAAAGATAAAAGGATTAAGCTAAAACTACTTGAGGGAAGAATAGAACCAACAAATTGATATCATAGTTCTGTATGGCTGGTGAATATAGAGTATCCAGATTTATTTCATGAGGAAATTGGAGTGTGTTAATTAGTTTTAACAGAAAAAACAGAAAAAAGGGTACCTGGACAGGTAGGTGAGCCTGGAGCAGTACTAAATAATACATTTTACATTTCAAACTGTGACATCACAGAATTTTCTTCTGAAGCTCCTCCTCCTCCTGCTACTAGAAACAGAGTTAAAACAGAGTACATGTTGAATCGATGCTCATACCACCTTTAAAAGTCTCTTTCAGTCCTTCATGGCTGAATGTCCAACAAGAACAAAAAACAAACAAAGCAAACATGTTTGCTTTGTGTGACAGAGCAAACATGACTGAACTAGGACAATTTCATATTGCAAATGAATAGCCATTTTGCAATGTTAGTTAGCTTTATTGCAGATGTTTTGCTGAGTGGCCTAAATGTGGTTTTATTTTGTATTATTTAATTTTGAACCTTTGTTACATCTGTGTATAGCATATGACATTTCATGCAAGCCTGGTTACTTGCAACTATATACAATACATTGTGACACAGATGTAAATTAGCTGTGAAGACATTACAAGTTCTGAAACATCATTCAACATATTCATTAAAAGTAATAATTAGTTCCACTCTATTTGACCTGCTATAAAGTTAGTTATGATAATTGTGTTTTTTCCAAACACTTTTTATGCATGCCTCAGTTGCAAGAAATGGGGTACATCCTGGAGAAGCCATCATTGCATCACTAGTCCATTTTAAACCACAAATTTAAATAAACAGCAAAATACAGTAGTACTCCCTTCTACAAACTTCAACTCACAATGGATTCAGATCTAAACTTGACCTCTCTGTCTTAAATTTCATTTAACAGTCGTCTAAAATATAATCATAGTCCACTCTGCATGCATCCGTGTTCAAAATGTGTACTTGCTTGCTCCTGCATAGAGAGACAGCTACATGCATACCTGGTTGAAGAAGTTGCACCCCCTCAGTATGTCGTTAAATAATGCAGCATAAATGTTATTAGATAACTTTACTGGGCCACTTACCTGAAGATATCTTCTGTGCCCTACTACTTTTTACATTTCAGAAAACTCTTGGGCATACTCAAATAGAGTAGAACATAATCAAATTAGCCCTTTTTTGTTTGAAAGGAAGAAGGAAGAAATAAGTTATTGAACTGTCCACAAATTGTTCTTTATATAAAGTAGGAACATCTATAAAAAATAATTAACTGGTTAGTGAAAGTAGATAATTTTACTGTAACCATATAAAATTATCTTGGAACACACGAAAGCCGACACGAAGTGGCTAGATATTTTCTACCCCAGATTTTTAATATCCGAGGCAAATTAAACGCATCATATCTATCCGAGACCTGCCTCTTCAATTTCGTCACAGACCTTCTAAATAAGGGCTAATTGTGAGATTTAAAAAAAGCGAAAAGCTAAATTTAGCTAGCAGGCTGGATAAAATTTATGATATATTTATATTTTACGATTCTGTTAATATAAAATAGAAATAAAACGATATTGATTAAATATAAAAACTTCACTTAAGGATTTTATTTTGATAGTAGTACCCGGAAGTTGTATTCTATACGTCAGCGGCTTGTAATTTTTAGTGTAGCATCTGGTGCAACAACTTCCAGTTGAATCTAATTCAGTAGCCTAACAGATAATGTAAACATCAAAGAGTAAAATCAAGACATTTATTATTTCGAGTTTTAAAAGTGACGTGTTCAAGCTTTCGGTTCCCACAACCAGAAACAACGAAGGTAGGATTGAGGATAACAACAAACTGGGGACGCTGTGAAGTACACCAAGGTGAGACGATTATGTTGTCATGTCACGTAGTTTTACATATTGTTTCTCGTTGCCCTTGCACATCAAGAGATTCATAAATCTTTCCCTCATTATCTTATTGGCAGTGTTTCCGTAAGTTTCAGATCTGGGGAGTTTACTGAGCACAGGTTCAACGTTTTCTGTTGGAAAAACCACAGACTATCATCAAATATTGTTTGACTTTCTTTTGAAAGTCTATTAATTTTGTTTTTAATTGTACATGCAGATACACCCACTTGAAAATTGGGTCCCAGTGTTGACCCAATTTTCAACACTATTGTACCTTCCTCAGTATTATACAGTGTTTGTGCTTTCTGGACCCTTCTTGACATCCCAAAGCCTTTTTCACTCCTACTAAGCCTCCCATCCTGACGTACTTTAAGATAGAGAACACTGTTATTTCAGCTTTAATATTCATAGCAGCAGTTTCCTTTCTCTGAAGACGTTCTGATGCATAGTTGAGACTGCACGCTTGTGTCTTTGGGGAGAACCACGGCTAACGAAAGAGGATTTCAACATTTTCTGTCTCATTTATTTATTTATTTACCAGTTGGATAGTTAGTTTGATAAAATGATATGACTATGCAGACGCACCAAATCATAAAAGAGAAACAATGTGGCCCAGGTTTCTTTACAACAAAAGCCAATTGAAAATTAAAGAATTACAAGATTGTATCCATTTACTCATCAAATCAGATGTCCCTGGTCTTTATTTGAATTTTAGTAAATTCCTAATAAGCCATATGTGTTTGTAAACCAAGACAGGTATGAGTTGTTTATTTTTATGTAATGAAACAATAGGGGGGAAATATTTTTTTTTAGTTATGAGCTGATAAAATATTAGAGTCAAGGAAATATTGGCAGATTCTGATCCCTTGCTGATTGATTTTGAGATAACTGCAACGAAGGGAAGTTTGATAACTATTTTGTTATAGCAAAAATATAACAAAAGTGATTTCAGTTTTTACTTTACTAATGCTCTTTCCAATATTGTTACTCTGCAGAATAATCTAAAAACCGTGAATTGTCGTCACTGTAAATTTACAGAACCACTAAAGATGTCTGCTTT